CCTGTGGCCTTGGTTGCAGTCCCTGCCCTGCTCTCTCCACCTCCCACCGGGTTCCCTGAGTCTCAGGCAGTTTCTGCCCCAAACCATCACCGCGGCTATGCCCGTGCTGCTCCCACGTTGGTAGCTGGGGCCCGGCAGTGAGGAGGCACCCGGGGTTCGGCAGTGGGCAGGGGTCTGCTGTCATGTGGCCCCACGGGCGGAGCCCTGGGAAACCTTCTGGGGAGGGTCCGGGAGGCCTTGGTGGGTGGGTGTGGGGCTGAGCGGGGTCTGTGGGATTTCGGGGCACTGGTTGGCTGAGAGGGGGTGAAGGGCCGTGGCCCTGGACCCCCAAGGCCCCTGGAGTTGTCTCCCTGTGAGAGGCCGAGGACATGACCTGGAGCTTCCGTGAGGACGGACTGCGGGCATCACCTCCCTGAGCGTCGGGCTTCCGTGCCCTGCCCGTCTCTTTGGGGAGTCTGTCAGGAGGTCAGGCCATGGCCAGTCACCCCCGGCTGGACCTGTGTGGGCCAGTGATTCCCTGCTAAGCTCATGCTCAGGTCGGCCCGGAGACCCCGGGGGCCTGAGAGAAGCCGGTTTTGGACACCTTTCCCTGGCGTCCTCCCTTGGTCCTTCTGATGTGGGGTTAGGCTGCAAGCAGAAGGCCTTGTGGGGCCCCCAGGCCCGTGGGTGGTGCTCACTTGGAGGGTCAGACAGGGGTGCAGGCAGTCCCAGCCCCACTGCTCTCTGAGTCCGGCCTGTCTCTGTGGGTGGCTTCTGGGATGGCATTGCCCCGTTGCAGTGGGGTGGGCAGGGCTGGGGATCAGAGCCATGCCGTTTTGGTTTTTCTCTAAACTTTAAATTTGAAGCATGCGGTCGGGCCAGTGTTTGAAGGTCTGGGAGCATTGCAGACTGAGTTGGGGCTGACCCTCGTCCCTCTGTGGTCTGGCCACGGTGCGGCCTTGATAGACTCGAGCCTGGGGCTGGAGGGTTGACCCTCTGGACAGAAACAGCCATGAAGACAGCAGGGCAGCCCTGGGCCACCTGCCACTTGGGCTCCGTGACAGCCCCGTGGGGGAATCACCGGTGAGGCCACCAAAACCGACAGGATCAGAGGAGTTGGAAACCCACAGCTGCTGTCGAAACAGACAGCAAACCTTGTGCCGCCCCGTCCACCGTGGACGGTCATGGCCAGGCTCTCAGGAGCTGCCAGTCTTGGGACGTTTATCCTGGGAATTTCAGCAAATCTGGGGTCTGCGGACCTGAAAGGGTGCGGGTGGGGCTTGAAGCCCTGGTGGGAAGAGCGCTGTCCTTGACTATCTTCTACCCGGGTCTCCTGCTCCAAGAGTCAGAGCCATGCGAGGAAGCCCCTCCCCAGGGCCCCTCGGTGCCTCCTTCAGTCCCTTCCAAAACTGACTGACCTCTCCCCGCAGGAGATGGAACCCCCAGGGAGAACAGCCCGTTCATTCACGGCGGCGAGGTGGACAGGGAGAGTCTCTTTGAGCGAAAGAACATGGCGCTGTTTGAGGTAACTCGCACTTTCCCTTCGGAGCAGGAGGTGCGAGAGGAGCTGTGGTTTGTTCAAGAAAAGAGGCCGTGGTCTTGAGGCCCCCAGTATCATGGAGAAACGCGGGTCACACAGAGGCCTTAGGGAGCCCCTCAGAGAGGCTGAATCCGGGCCGTCTGGGGACCCCGGCCTCCCTCTCGGCTGGTGGCCCCACTCAGTGTGTCCTCGAGCCCCTGATTCTGACCTGCCGAGCGCGTGTCTGGGGCCTCAGACCCCTTTCAGGTCTGTTGGCTTCAGGGCAGGTGGAGCTGAGGCCCCAGACAGCCCCGGAGTCGGCAGGGTCCCCACTGGGTAGTCAATCCCATTGGTCTGGGGGCGTCTCGGCTGGGGGTGAGTGTCTAGCTCCACGTCTTGTCCCCAAACAGGAGGAAATGGACAGCAACCCCATGGTGTCCTCACTGCTCAACAAGCTGGCCAACTACACCAACCTGAGCCAGGGCGTCGTGGAGCACGAGGAGGCCGAGGACAGCCGGCGGCGCGAGGCCAAGGTGGGGCCCCCCACCGCCCCGCCGCCACCCC